GGGCCGCGCGGTACCTGTGGGGCAGACACAGGGCGCATGGAAGGCGTGCCGCGGCCCCAAACGACTTCCCGGCCCGCGCCCGCGCCCTGCGCAGTCCCGGGGAAGCCGCCTCGTTGGGAACCCCCGCGCTCCCCGGAGGCCTAGTGACGTCACCGAGGAGGATGACGTAACGCCCCGAGGTTTCCCGGGTAGGGTTTCCCTAGATCTGAGACCCGGCCGCCGCGGCTGAGCCCAGGTGCAGAGGGGACCCAAGGTGGGCCAGCAGAGGGCGCGCGAAGGCCAGACTCCGGCTGTGAGCGCGGACCGGAGATTCGCCAACCACTACCCCGCGGCACAGGGTACCCCAGCTCGGAAACGGTTTTAGAGGCCTATGGATACCAGAGCAGAAGAGACTTCTCCGCGTGGTTGCTTAGCGGCAAAGAAAGGGTGGTCCGCTACCTAGGCCCCACAGACAGCGCACCCGGGCGTCCAGCCCCAGCCTTGAGCAAAGCCTGGCAGCCCCTGGCCGCCCGAAGATGGAACATCGGGCCGTGTGCCCGGGCCTCCAGGGTGCCGCCGCTCTGGAAGGAGGGCTCCGGCAGGTGGCTCTGGCTGCTACTGCCTGCCACCGGCCCTGCCTTTGTCTGCGCCTGCCGCTCCGCTGGGCGTGGGCCAGCCCTCTCTTCCTCTCCTCCTGAAGCCTCCCCACTCTTCCCCGTCAGATTCGGCTCCGACGCCGCTCCCCAACCTCCTACCACTCTAGGCCCACCCCCACCCCCCGTCTTTGAAGAGCGGAGGGCAGCTATTACAGATGAGACTCAGAACCTGTCTGCAAGCTCCCCGCATGTCTTCTGCGCCCACCCGGTACTCCACTCCCTGCAGCTGGGCATCTGGTTACAAACACCCTCCTCTCCACAGATGGGGCTTGGGGGACCCTGCATGCCAAGAGGCCAGCAGGAGAGAGCCCTGACTGAGGGGTGAAGGGCAGCCACCACTGACAACCCCCACAGATAAGAGTCCTTCTTAATGCCCCATACTCAGGGGCTTTCACACATAACCCCTGGGGTTGCCTGGAATGACTATCAATTCTTTACAGATGGGGAATGGGGGAGCGGCTGGGCCCGTCCATGGCGGTGTGAGCCAGGCCTGGCCACAAAGCCCTCGCTCTAGTGGGTGGGCAGTGCTGCTCTGTAGGCTAGCTTCGTGGGCCTTTTCAAAGAGCCCCATGACCCTCCTACCCTCCACACGCTCGGAGTGCATACCCAACAGGGACCCCAGTGTGCCTGAGCTCCAATGCAGGGGGCAGGGAGAGGGGCAGGGGGTGCCTGGCTGTAGCTGCCACACACTGCTCCTACATGGCTCCTGTCTGACTCCATGGCTGCCTTCGGGCATGTGCCACTTAATGCCCGTGCCAGTCCCCTTCTGGGCCTGTGTTCCAGAACAGACAATGGCAAGAACAATGGCTCTGCCCGCCCCCTCCACAACCCCACCATGAGGCTGCCATGGCGACGCAGCCCAGATAAAACACGATGCTGCCAGTCACGAGGAGTTAATTACATCTGTTGTTCTCCTTTCCTGAGCCGAGCCCTTGGGAACAGGGATGCTCTGGGGGAACGGGCAGTAGCTAGAGCCCCGGCCTGCAGGGCGGGCACAGTTGCAGTCAGAAAGGCCACTTTGGTCAGGCACCATCAGGCCTTGTTCTAGTCCCTGCCCACGAGCAATCGTCATGCCTGGTGGCGGTGCCCCTTTGGGGGGGGGAGGAGACAGTCTCAGAGAGGGAAATGGCTTGCCCCAGGTCAGGCTGTGCCCAGCACCCTCCCCGGGTGGCGAATGAAGTATAAATGAATTCCTGTGCCTTCTCCCGCCCTGTCCCGCCCCTGCACTGGCGGGCCTGACCCCCAGCCACAGGATGAGGATGGAAGGCAACTCTGGGTAACAGGGACCATGCCCTGAGGGTGCCCAGTTTAGCAGGGCATTAGGCCAGACTAGGCCAGGCCACACCCAAGGCCGGCTGGGTGCCACGGCCAACCCTCCTCAGGAGGCAGGAGGCAGCTGCAAGTTGGAGAGGAAGCCCTGCGCATGGCCGGCCCTCCGTCCCCAGCCCCATGCTCCAGCCCAGTGGGTGGAGGTCTGGTGCTGAGCACCCTCTTGGCTGCGGCAGGCAGAAGACTGAACCCTGCAGCCCACACCAGTTACTCAGGAGACCCCAACATACACAGGGAGAAATCGGTTCAGGCCTTTTGCAGTGCTCTGCCTGGAGGTTCAGGTGGCTGGATCCCACATGGCCGACTCTAGTTTGAGTCTCAGGCCTGGCCCCTTGAAACTCATGCCGGGTGCATGTGCATGCATGCCACCAAGTCCCAAGATGGGAACGGAGGGGACGAGACTTGGGGCACAGCATCCCCCAGAGGGTGCCTTCTCACTTTCCCTTTGCAAGTGCCCTATGGCAAAAATCTAAAAACAGAAAACTTTGCCTGACCAGGCCACACTTCTCAGCCACCCAGAAGCCATGCTCAACTGTCCCCACGACTGTGCGTGTGCTCGCCCTTGCCCAGGGAGCCCTTGGGCCCAGGACTCTGCCGCCAGCCCCGTTCTCAGCCCTCCCTTGGCCACCCTAGGCAGGGAGCCATGCCCTCTAGACACCTTGGCTGTCCATCTCTGCTTTGAGGTGTTTCCTGTTTCTTTTTGTTTCTTTCTCTTTCCTTCTTTAAAAGGTTTTTACCACGGGGTGCATATGCTCATGAGACAGACAGTGAGAGGGGAATGGCTGGCGGGGGTGGCCTCACCACAGTCCCTTCCCCCATCCTCCTGGGATCCTGGGCACACGTGCCCATGTGCCTGGCGTGATTTTTAAGTTGCCGGATCTGGGACTCGAACTGCAATTGGCCATGTAGGCCACGTGGAGGTACAGCCCTTAACCACCACGCCACCTGCTGGCCATGCTGTTTTCTGTGCTTACTTTCTGGCAGGCTCCTTGAACATGTCACAAATTTGACCTGGCCTTGTCGCGGCATGCCTCAGCATACCCTTTGTTTTCCTCAGGCCACGCTGACTGAAGGTGGCAGGGGTGACAGTTTCCTAACACGCACGTGGCCTCGGTTTCCTCAGAGGTGACCATGTGAGGACTGAGCTGATCTGTGTGAAGGACCCGGAGACACCCAACAGACGCGAGAGCTGATGGCGGCGTGGACTGCAGCTACGCAGTGTCCCCAAGGTGCTCTTGCTGGACACCAGGGTTCTCACGGCATTTCCATAAAGCAGGCTAGCGTCCTTTCAGGTGTGTGCATGCGTGCATGTGTGGAAGCACCATCTGGTGGACGGCCATGCTGCAGCCCTCCTCCGTCCTCCCTGGGGGTGGGGCATGCACACACGTGCACCTGGAGTCTCTCAAGCCGCCGGGTCCAGGACTGGGACTACACGGTTGGCATGTGGGACCCAGCTGCTGTAGCCACCATGCCACCTGCTAGTCCCAGGTTGGCTTGCTTGCTTTTTTTTTTTTTTTCTTTTTGAGAGAGATTTTTTGCTATAGGGTGCGTGCACTCGCCAGAGAGACAGAAAGTGATAAATCACCCCCCAGGGGGCATGGCACGCCACAATCCCTTCTCCTCTATTCTCTTCTCAGGATCTTGGGCACGCACGCACATGCGCCTGGCATGAGTTTAAGCCATCAAGTTGGGGTTTGAACCGCAGTCAACTACATGGGAGTCCAGCGACATAGCCATTACGCCAACTGCTGGTCCCTTGCATTCTTTCAATCTGACAGATGAGAACATTTGTCTTGAAAAAATTAAATGATAGCCAAGCCCACACAGATCCTGTCTGCAGCCTGGACACATTGCCAGAGGCACCTGGCCCCGACCCTGTGCACCCAGATCCCAGGCTCAACTCAGACCTCAAAGTTTGCCACCATGGGGGTCTCCTACCAGCAGTGGGGCCACTGGTCACTCCCTTCACCGAATCCTGTGCCACACTGCTTCCTCAGGGCAGTGTCTCAATCTGTCCTCTTCCTCTAGTCCCACCACTGCCTGGGCCAGGTCACCATCACCTCTCATCTGGCCCCTATTACCATGCCACACACTGGGGCCCCCGCCCAGCCAGCCTGCTCTCCGCATCACCCATTCCCCTCAGGACTCCTGCCCGAAGCCTCCAGTGTCTCCCACTGCCATGGAAAATGGCCAGTCCTTCACAGTGGAGACCAGGGTCCCCCCAACTTGCACATGCATCAAGACCACATGGAGCGCGTGTTAAACCGTGCTGTGCCCCAAGTCTGCCTTTCAACGTGTGCCCAGCAGTTGCTGGGGTCACTGCTCCAGGGAGCACGCCCAGGGCCGTGGGCCGAGGTCATGGCCTCCAGGGCGAGCTCCTACCCCCGCGGCTCACCTGTCACTTCCTCAGACAGGCAGGTCTGAGCCACCTCACCCCAGGGCTAGCTGAGAAGTACAGTCATACACACGTGTCTGGAGTGGCCTGTGCCCATCTGCTCTGACTGCCGGCACACAGTGGCTCAGAAACCACTTGTCGCCTGTGTGGTCTGACTGTGGGACGGGGACACCAGAGCTGGGTCTGCGTCTAACTCGCTCCTAGGAATGCTGGCCTTTCACCAAAGTGTCATGAGAGAGAAGCCGCCACCCAGCTCTCGGCCCCACAGTGATCACAAACAAGCTGAGGGCCCACTCACGGGGGAGTGGACTGCGCGGGGCGTGCGCCAGGGGCTCGGGGTCACGGGAAGCGCTGGACACTCGGCTGGAGCTGCTGGCCTCCGGGAAGACAGGGACTCAGACCAGGGGACAGAGCGGGTGGGGTGAAGGAGGTCACGTGTCCTGTGTGTCCTGGGTTG